TCTCAGGTTAAGCCCCACTGAATTTGCTGAGGCTCACTTAGAGGGGAAATGCAGAAGTTTGCAGAGGACTTTTCCCTTTGCCTTTACAGATGATGATCTTAAATCTGCCCCATTTTGCAGCCTGGATATCTCCCCTGCGCGCTCTCTCTCTCTCTCAAAAAGTGTTCACGTCAATGGCCTGCCTGTCACCCATTCTCATTTTCGGACGCTGATGTGAATGTGTCGGCTTACAAAGTGTTTCTCTGACTTGAGGCTTGCCACTTCCCAAATAGGGGAAGTGTGAAGAGCTTACATGGAAACTTTGAAGCATCCTCTGGTTCTTGTGCTGTAAATGAGCGGGTTTTGTTTCCTTCTGCTTCATATCTTGTAACCTTTTCTCCGTGAGGCATTAACATATGAAAAAAGATGTTTAAATATTTGTTCGTAAGGCAGAATGAACCTCTAGGCTCCCGTGATCTTCTTAATCTCAAATTAAACCGAAGGTTGGGGAAACAATGGTTCAGTCACAAAATACTGTTACGTGTTTTGGAGGGGTCAGTTTGGATGATACCTGAGGGTCCCTTCCAGGCCTGCTTAGAATCTAGTAGAAGAGGCTGCTGAGCCAGCCAAACCAGTTCCTTTGTTAAGGGACTGGGGTTGCACTAGATTCTATGATTCTATGAACTGCTTTGGCTGGCCAGTTGGGTTCTGCTAGATACCGTATCCAAAGAGGCTGCTCTGTTGCCATGTAGACAAATGCACAGGGCCTTTTCCCACCACACTTACAGGACACCACATCATCTGAGGATGGAGAGCATGGGCCAAGTGAGAGCTGTGTATGAAAGAGTTGTATCTGTGGGTTTGGATGATGCTGGAAGCTGCAGAGACAGAGACATGCCTTGTTCTGTGTCAGACCCATTTGCCGTGCCGAAGTGACCTCCTTCAGGCAGAAGCCTGGACAGTGTGGATGGAGGTCCTGGGCTGCCCAGATGACTAGATGCTCCTCTCAGCCTCGCTGATGGGGTCCAAAGGAAAGCAGAGCATGATGTTTGGCACCAGCTGGGCTGCAGGAGTGGCCAGAATTACTCCTGAGCCTTTTCTTCCCCCAAAGATGTTCCATGAGGCAGCGGAGGTGTAGGATCAGAGTTTTCCTTCTCCTAGATGGGCTCCCTTCCCAGGTGGATGAGAACACCTGCCCCTCACTTCCCTTTACAGCAGTGGGTAATACAGCAGTTGCTAATCCCCTCTCTAGAGTGGGTGAGGGGTGCAGGTGGCACTGTGGTCTAAACCTCTTGGGATCAGAAGGTCGGCGGTTTGAATCCCCGTGACAGAGTGAGCTCCTGTTGCTCTGTCCCAGCTCCTGCCAACCTAGCAGTTCAAAAGCACACCAGTGCAAGTAGATAAATAGGTACCGCTCCAGCGGGAGGGTAAACAGCACTTCCGTGCGCTCTGGTTTTCATCACGGTGTTCCATTGTGCCAGAAACAGTTTGGTCATGCTGGCCACATGACCCGGAAAGCTGTCTGTGGACAAAGACTGGTTCCCTCCTGAAAGCGAGATGAGCGCCACAGCCCCATAGTCGCCTTTGACTGGACTTAACCACCCCGGGGTCCTTTACCTTTTTTTACCGAGTGGGTAATAGTAATAACAGTAGTAGTAGTAATAGTAGCAATAGTAGTTGTTGTTTTAGTGGTTTTTTGGCCTGGTCCTCCTCCCATAGACTTCAAGTATCACTTTCCTGTGAGTTTTCAGCCATCATTGCCCCCTATCAGGCAGTCATCTGTTCTATCTTTCCGTCCACATACATCCATTATTTCTGCCAGCCTTGCTGCAGTAGGAGAGGAATCTGAACTAAGTTAGAGAAACCCAGTGGGGTTGCATAAAACAAGGGAATCAAAATCCAAATGTCCGGAAGAAAGCAAAATAACTAGGTATTAAAGCAACTAGGCTATTCGCTGCGGGCAAACAGCGGGGAGATATTGGCAGCGATAGAGCTGCATGCTAAAGAATGCCAGGGAGGCTGAGAGGGACCCTTCTGCCTCTTGCCCAGTCACCCAAGTGGGTGGGCAGAGGCCACAGAGTTTCGGGTGCAACTCAGCCTGAGCAGGGATACAAAATAAACAGTAGGGAATACATCAGGGTTTTTAAAACAACCTGATATTATGCTACAATTTATTTGCAGTAAGAGCTAACAGAAGGGACGTGGGTGGTGCTGTGGTCTAAACCACAGAGCCTAGGGCTTGCTGATCCGAAGGTCGGCGGTTTGAATCCCCGCGACGGGGTGAGCTCCCGTTATTCAGTCCCAGCTCCTGCCCACCTAGCAGTTCGAAAGCACGTCAAAGTACAAGTAGATAAATAGGTACTGTTCTGGCGGGAAGGTAAATGGTGTTTCCTTGCACTGCTCTGGTTCACCAGAAGCGGTTTAGTCATGCTGGCCACATGACCCGGAAGCTGTACGCTGGCTCCCTCGGCTTATAGAGCGAGATGAGCCCGCAACCCCACAGTCGTCCATGGCTGGACCTAATGGTCAGGGGTACCTTTACCTTTAAGGGCTAACAGAGTCCCTCCCCCCAGCTAGAAAAGCAGGGTCCCCCCCCCACCTATTAGAAAATTAAACTCCAGATATCAGCCTGTGCAGAGGTTTAGTATGAGCAGCTGGCCAGAGACACTTCATTGAGTCATATGCAATAAAATCCAATGTGATCAGCTCCTTTACTCCCTGATTTTTGCATTGTTCTTGTTATTAAGCCCAATCCTGCTGATAACTTCATGCAGTCCCATTATGGCTGCACTTCAATGACGCACAGCCAACCGGATCCCAGCAGTGGGATTGGACAGAGGAGCCCTGGTGCAGCTGCAAAGCTTGAAGCACATGTGATAAGATATGGAGGAGCACCTCGCCACATTCACTGTGCTTCCTCCAGTTTCCTGTTGAGTGACGGGTGGGGAGTGCTCGTACTTCCTCAGAGCCCCAGGAGAGCAGCTGGGACCATTGCAACAGAAATTCACCAGAACTAGGTGTCCCCTTAGAGCAGTGGTGGCTGGACTTGTCCCTCCGGCTGTTTTGGGACTGCAATTCCCATCATCCCTGACCACTGGTCCTGTTGGCTAGGGATGATGGGAGTTGTGGTCCGAAGGCAGCTGGGGGGCCAAGTTTGGCCACCACTGCCTTAGAGGCATGCTCTGCAATGGAGACACATCTGGGCCCAGATGTGGAAGGGGTGGCAGCTGGAATTGCTGCTATGCCATCCAACAGGTGAAGGCAGGGGGGTTGTGGCTCTTTGCTTCCCTTCTGCCTCCTCTAGGGCCTGCAGAAGGAGGCGGCCGCAGAGTGGACTGGACCATTTCAGACGGCGTAAAAAGGATGCCATTTCTGAAGAGTTTCCCCAGGCTAAGGAGGAGCCCTCTGTCAGCTTCAGGCACAAAGACTTGCATGTTTCCGCAGGCATTTTATGAGGAATTTTCATTGTTCATATCTTTGCATGTGTCAGGGGTTCAGGAGCAGAGGCACAGGAAAGGGAGGAAATAGAGAGCGAGGGGGAGGAGTCCGAAGGAAATGTTAGCGATGACAGCGGTCCGAGGTCTCTGAGTCTTTCCAGCGAATCGGAAGATTCACAGAAAGGGGCTCCCTTGGTCAGAGCAAGGGGGTGCCGAGGGGACACCCCAGGAAGAAGGGGCCAGAGGGGACTCAGAGAGCAGCAGTTGGAAATCAGGACCAGCGTCCACACCAGAGTGCAGTAGGGGGGGAGTCCCAGGCATCGGGATCAGGCGGCGCACTGCCAGTGGGAGGACATGAGTCAGGATTGGCCACGCCTCCATCGGGGAGCGAGGAAACGGTCGAGAGGAAGGTTGAAGGCTGGGCGCGCGCCAAGTTCAACTGTACAGGAGGGCGGCGCAGTTGGCAGCCCGGATAGGGAGCCAGGTCCCAAAGCCCGCCGAAAAGAAGGGGAGGAGTCAGGAGGGTCAGCGTCAGAAGAATCCAGGAAGGAAGGGACCCCGGGGGGTAGCAGGACCCAGAGGAGAAAGGAGAGACGTAAGAGGTGGAGTAAGGCTAGAATCTTAAACTGGTGTACAGGGGCGGAGACTCAGATGGAGCTTCGCCGATCTAACCCCTAGACGTAGAGCTGGGGCGCTCCGGCTTGAAAATGGAAACTGTACTTCAATAAAGACTTTTGCACATTACTGCCGGCTAGCGTTGGTCCTCTGTGAGCTGGGACCTGGAGCCAGCTCTGACAGTATGCTTTTATTTTTTGCTTCAAATTTTATGCACCCTCATTTTAAAAAGCTCACAGTTCAGTATATAAAGACCGTCAATAAAACAATAAATCAATTAGCTGGTAAAATAAAGAAAGAAAGAAAGAAAAGAAAAAGAAATTCGCCAGAACTGCTGTTCAGCCACCCCAGGTCCTCAATACATACTGCTCAGGATTGCGCCCCAGCGAGGTCACTCAGATAATTTGGGCCCTTTAAAATCCATCTGAAATACTGGTCATCTTCACTTTTCATGGCTTTTTCCATTTTGGCTGCTTTAACAAGGCTGCCTTTTTATCTGGGACGAAGACTTCAGTGTTTCCTGAAAGCAGAACCATTTATTTCTGCTTGCCATTTTTATCGTACCTTTCCTCCAAGGATTCCACAATGCCTTACAAGGTTTTCCTCCACCTCCGATTTCACCTTCACAAGAACCCTGCTCCAAGTTCACCTAGTGAGCTTCACAGCCGAGTGGGAATTTGAACCCAGATCTCCCTGGTATCGAACTGGCACTGCGACACCACAGATAGGCTTGGGTTGGCCAGCATGGCATAGTTGTTAGAGTGTCAGACCAGGGTTCAAATCCCCCGCTTGGCCACGAAGCTCTCATTGGGTGACCTTGGGGTTCCGCCACTGCGGAATGTGCTTTGCATTCAAATGAATTGCAAAGCGGCTTACAAAAATAAATAACAATAACATCATAGAATTGTAGAATTGGAAGCGGCCCCAAGGGTCATCTAGTCCAACCCCCTGCAATGCAGGAATATGCAGCTGTCCCAGGCAGAGATCGAACCTGCAACCTTGGCGTTATCAGCACCATGCCCCTAGTAATTCACAACTATGGCATAAAACATATGGACTAATTAACAAATCGTCAGTAAAACAATTACAATCTAAAAACGCCATTAACAAAACAACTAAAAGAAAGAAAGAAAGCCAAACAGCACAATTACAACAAAAGCCACATTAGCACATTAACAAAGCACTACGGCATTCATAATCTATAAAACAATATTAACAGCATCAACAAAACAGCAGCCAAAAAATAAACTAAGCACTGTTGAATTCATGCACACTCCCCAAACTCTGTTCAGCTCATTAAAATGCACATACACATAATGTCCGTGGCAGCAGCTCTCTTCTGAAGGTGGGGCTGGAGGTGGGGCAGCGAAGGTGAAAGCAACCCCCCCCACACACACACACCCAGTGGAAAACAGTCTCTCTCCCCTCACAGTTCCTCCTCTGGAAACAGTTGCCTTATGAAGGCTCCTCGGATTGGAGGGTCAGCCAAGGCAGGTGGGAAAAGCCATTGCCTGATGGCCAGCATAAAGTCTTGCTCCCCTCACCCAGATCTCCCAGATTGCCCTCGGATACCCTAACCACTGTACCACGCTGTCCCACACTGGCATGTCTCTTACTGACAATTCTCACCTTGTTACTGATCACAGGCAGTGCCGGATTTACATATAAGCCAAACAAGCTAGAGCTTAGGGCCCCACTCTCTTGGGGGCCCCAAAAAAATTAAAGGGAAAAAAACCCTAGATGTACATTTTCAAAATATAAGATTACAATAAAATAAAATAAAAGAACCTGCAGTGTGTATTTCACTATTAATACATTTCTTCTTGTGGAAGACAGGATTGCCTGGCGTGCTCTGGTCCATGGGGTCACGAAGAGTCGGACACGACTAAATGACTAAACAAATACTTCTTCTCAATTTTATTTCAGTTCAACAATTACTTTGATAAAATACATATTTTGTTATGTGCAAATGGCTTTAGATACCTATTAGGTCCATAAATTACCATATAGCATATATTCAACACAAAAAAGTGACAATTTGTTGTTGACAAAGGACAGCTGGACATATAAAGGGCCCCATTACCTTCAGTAGCTGAGGGCCTCATCAAACCTAAATCTGGCCCTGGTCACAGGCAGAGGAATTGGAGTGCATGTGATGAAAGATGGTAGTGAAAGAAGCCTTTACTGAAAAGTAGAAGGACCCCAAAGTGTTAACCCAGTTACTGCAGAAGTGTGTCCACATGACACTTCTTGTTTGTGTTTTATGCTTGAAGTTTCACTGCCTCTGCCCATCTTCTCTTCCACAATGACTTCATTAGCAGCAAGCTGCTAATTAAATTCCATATTTATGATTGGAAAATAAAACCATTGGACCCTTTGAAAATAGATTTTTACGACTCTGAGCTGTGGCAGCTGACTCAGCAATTAAGGATGTGCAAAGCTGGAAACTTAAAGGCTTCCATGAGGAAGATAAACAGAATGAGAAATGACAGACGGAAAGGCTTGTCGGAAATCCCACCTCATTTCTGGGCTGTGTTAATTTTTCAGCCAAAAACAAAAACACAAAAGCGTCGTGTTGCGTGCGTGCTTTCCTCAACACCCTGTGTGGCTCAAGAGATCAATATCAGCCGCTTCTACGGAGGGCTTTTAGGGGTAGCCGTGTATTGCTATTCTAAGACAGCACAAAAAAACCCTACAGAACTTGATACTGGACAGGACATTCAGCCTGTTGAGAATCTTTCACTGTTTGCAGGGAGAGGGCAGGTTTCTAGACCTCATGATTGCAACAATATGCAAACAAGTGTGTGGGTGATATCTGCTGTAATCTCAGAAGATGGATAAGATTTCTGGAGGTTGTAGGCAGCACCTCAGTATCCTCCTTCATTGTGTACTCTTCCTCCTGATTAGCAAAGCCAAAATAATTATGCAAAACCATTGTCGGTATTTGGAGTCAGCAATAAAAAAATCCCACTGGTATCGGTGAAGTTACTTCTTCATTCAAAGAAACCAAAATACTGCAGGCCTAGTGATCCTATCAACTCCTCTCAGTAGCTCTTGCCCCAAGGAGGCAGCTGCGAGGACTCAAGGTCTTCCCACAGTCCCCTCCTCTCCAGGGTTTCTTTCCAAGCAATCTGAGACTTTTTTCTGTGAGCAACCAATCTCTCTTCTGCTCTTTTCATGTGTCTGTTGGTTCTGGGAGATCAGGGGAGGAGAGCTGGTCACAGCAGGAAGGGAAGATTCCCCGGCTTCTCCAGCGGTCTGTCTCCACTCTGCTTCTTGGTTCCTCTCCTCACCCGCCTTCGCTTCTGCCTCTGAATCTGGACTGCTCTCTGCCCCAGCCTCTTCCGGCTCACTCCACCCTGTTGCCTCTTCAGATAATGATGATGATGATGATTATACCCTGGCCATCTGGCTCGGCCTCCTAAAACATCAAACATTAAAAACTTCCCTAAACAGGGCTGCCTCCAGATGTCTTCTAAAAGTCAGAAAGTTGTTTATTTCAGTGGCATCTGATGGGAGGGTGGGTGCCACTACCGAGAAGGCCCTCTGCCGGGTAACCTGTAACCTTTGAAGGTCAGCACCAACACTTTGAATTGTGCTCGGAAACGTACTGGGAGCCAGTGTAGGTCTTTCAGGGCTGGTGTCATATGGTCTCAGCAGCCACTCCCAGTCACCAGTCTAGCTGCTGCATTCTGGATTAGTTGCAGTTTCCAGGTTACCTTCAAAGGTAGCCCCACGTAGAGCACATTGTAGTAGTCCAAGTGGGAGATAACTAGAGCATTCACCACTCTGGCGAGACAGTCCATGGGCAGGTAGGGTCTCAGCCAGCATACCAAATGGAGCTGCTAAACAGCTGCCCTGGACACAGCTTCCAACACCGCCTCCTCCCAGCCTTCTCTCTCTGATCACTCATCGTCATCCCACTACCAATCCCCTGACTCTGGGCCTTCTTCCCCTGGGGGTTCCTTTGGGGGTTCCCCAGATGGTTCCCCCCTCCACTCTCTGCATCCAGCCAGTCCATGGCAGCCGTATACAAAGGCAGAATCAATTATGCAAAATAAGAGGGAAATGTGGACGTCAGCTTAATTTGTAGGAACTGAGCTTTCCATAGCACCAGTAGCAGAGTGGTAAATTCAGAAGCACAGAGTCCCTTCGCAGCCACCGTGAAGCCACACCTCCCCCTAAGATTATACAATAATCATAATAAGGGGTGCATTGCAGTGATCGGTGCAAATCTTTTTGTTTTCCCTTTCTACTGTTTTCTATGCATTTCCATGGGCAAATGATTTTGGTGTGCTCCAATATCTTCTCTCAGAGTGACTTAGGTTGTCTTTTCCTTGACGTTCCATTGCATGTAAGAGAACCTGCACACCGTTCTCTAGAAACTGAAGCACTTTGTCTTCCTAAATGCTTAGCTTCAGAACATACTGTGGACTCCCCTTGCTCGGACATCAGTCATGGAATGCTTCAGCTGAGATTCCTGCATTGCAAGGGGTTGGACTTCACCATTCTATGATTCTATATAGTACAACTCCTTGACGTTCTTCCTTTGTGACTTCTCCAGAGTGATCCTAGGAGCCCATCCTCAGTGGCTGGCTCCAGTCACACCTTCTCAGTGGCTAAAAGGCTCTCCTTACAGTCTGATTGGCCAGTTCAGGGATCCTGGAGACAGAGACCCTGCTGCAGAAATAGAATTAGGTCTTCAATCCCTCCACCCCCCACAATCCTGAACTACAACACCTCTACTTAGCACAGAATTTGGATTATTTTGTTTCGGGGCTAGTTTGTTTCATTATAACACTGAATCCATGCTTGCAATTTCTCATTATGGAGGATAGGATGGTTCTTCTTTGTTCCTAACTACAATTCTACGATTCTATGATTCTGTGAATATGGCTAAAATGGAGGCAAAGCTTATGAGTTTCATGAAGGGCACTCCAAATGAACAAGCACCAATTCCTGAACATTTAGACAGCGGTACTTTGCTTTCTTGCTGTCTCAGTGGGGATGGATGAATTTGTCAGTTTCCATTCTCTCAGATTCTCATTTTTTCCAAACCTAAAATTATCCACATTTCTGCAGCAATTTGCCGTGAAAAAAAATCCTCGCAAACATTCACAAGTGTTTTTGTGTAACTTTCTCCTAATAAACACAGTTTTGTGTGCTGTTTTGACTAAGATACACATTTTTGCAATGCAACTTTCCCTAAACTAGTGCAACTTTTTATGCTGCTTTCATTAAGGTGTGTACGATTTCCCCTAATCTCTGTATTTTTGTAGACAGCTCCTAGAAAACTGCATTGCAGCATTCAGAGAACTGTGGATTTCAAAAGATGACCATGCTTCAGTTTGCGTGTTGCTTTAGTAGTTTTAAAACAGATAGTTTTGCCTTTAAATGCAAACTGAATCAAATTCCTCCCCCATCGCACCCCTCAGACAAATATCGGGGGAGGGGGTGTGCAGTTGATGGTCTGGGGTCAATCTTCCAGGTGCTGCTCCCACCCCCATTAAACCCCCCTCTCTAGGTGGCAAGGACGCTTTCTGGCTCCCAGATAAAACTTCCTTTCTGGTTTTCCCCTTGTAAGAGGAACCACGCTGCATTGCTGCAAGCTTCTCTCTGCCTCTGAACAGAGAAGAAGGGGGAAGCAAGGCTGGCCCCTGCCCCCCCCCCCACCCCATGCTAAATATAGGCACCAGGTTTGCAAAGGCCAGCAATGGGTGGGTGGCTGGTTCCGGAAGCACGTTGCACCGTTCCACAGCAGCGACGCTTTCAGGGGTGCAAGCAGAGCAAGAGGAAGGAGGCCAAGATGGTGGGTCAAAACAAGAGCGGTTCTGCCACTGAGCGGCGGAACAAGGTGCTGGTTTGAAAAGCTCCGAAAGCGAAGCCTTTCTCTTGGACTGCTCTCCGGCAACGAGAAGTCTCTTCCTGCAAGGTTTTAAGGTAGGCTCTTAAATTGACTCAGCTCCTACGTGGGTTTCTGCAGAATCTCTGGAACTTCAGAGAAGGAGTCTGGCTGCCTCTTCTCCCTGCCCTTCCAGACGCTGTCGGACT